TATAAAAAATATATATATAAATTATATATAATAATATAAAATAAAATTATATATATATATATATATATATACATTGTATTTATAAAAATATAAAATAAATATATTTAAAAATTTTGGTGGGTGTGTGTTTTTGGTGTGTGGTGTGGTGTGTTGGGGACTCACCTAGTTGTACTACCTTTTTGGAGGTTGCAGGGGTCGAGTCCAAGCCCCTGGCCCCGCCTTTTAAACCTGTCGCTACTGGGTCACTCCCCCTGAACTTTGGGTTTTTCCCCTTTCCCTCCCCCTTTAAAAGCAGGGAAGGGATCCGCCTCCACTAAAATCGTTTCCAAGCTATCCACTTCCTGTTTTCCTTTGGCTGAAGAAAAACTTCCTAACACCCCTGGAGCCCATCTGTTTTTCAATTTCCCAAACCGGGTGTCCCCCCTTTTTTGAGTGCCCCCCATTTCTGGAACATCCTGTTTTTTTTCCACCTTTTTAAAATTCCTCTCAGAACTTTGTATGTCTTTTAACCATGTCCCCCCACCCCCTCCAGGGGCCCGTCAGATTTTTTCCCCTTAACCCCTTTTAGGCCCATACCTTTTTAGCTCGGGGACAAAGCCCTTGTTGCAAACCTTTGCATTTTCCTAGTTTCTTTACGTGTTTGGGTTTGGGTGGGGGTTTCCCAAAACTGGTGCCGCATACTCCGTATGGGCCTAACGGGGACACGGTGTACAGGGTCCTAACAATTCCTTATTAAATATCGGGAATTTTGTTCTGGTTTGCTAGGGGCCCATATGCTGCACAGTTTTTTTTGGTTGTTTTGCGCTTCAGAAAAAAAAAAAGTGCCTGGGGTTTTACTCACCCCAAGATCTTTTTTCCCTTTAGTGAGGTTTTATCTCTGGCCCCCCAACTGTAAATCCGTCCCGCGGTCTTCTTTGCCCTTAACCCCAAACTTCAACTTTGCACTTGGTGGGTTGGGAAATCCCCGGAGGGGCCAAATTTCTGGCCCGGTCTGCAAACCTTCCAGTCCCTTTTTAGTTTTTGCCTGGGGTTTTCAATTTGAATGAATTTTTCCTTTTCCCCAAATTCACGTCATCTGCAAACAGGGACAATTCGGGGTCAAACCTTCCGTCTTTTCGTTTCCCCAAAAAACCTTTAAACAGCAAATGGTCCTTAAAGGGGGCTGACCTCTGTGGGACCCCCCTGGTCACCCGGTCCCACTTTTGACCCCTCGCCACTACCATAACTCCCGCGGGCCTTCCTTACAAGTATTCCCTGATCCCCTTTTAAATGCCTTCCCCCGTTTTCCCCTCTCGGGCCCCCCCAGTTTTTGCACAATTTTCTTGTGGGAACCCGTGAAACGCCTTCTTGGGGTCCAAGAAAATGCCCAAACCACCCACCCCTCCTCCTTTTCCTTACTGCGTCGCCATGTCATAGAACTCCATAGGTTTGTGACACAGGGTTTCCCGTCCCGAAACCAAGGGTTTGGCGCTGTTGATGAGATCAATTTTTTTTCCCTTTTTTTTCCAAACCCCCCCCAAAATTTGTTCTTTCTCCAGCGGGCCCGTCTCCTTTTTTAAAAAACTTCTTTTTGGCCCAAATTGGGGCTTTCTTTTTCTTCTTCCCTTTTCAGGGGCCCCCTGGTTTTTGTAGGTTTTAGTTTTTTTCCATGGCCCTGTCCCTTTTTAAAAATTGGGAGAATTTTTTTCCGGGCCCCCGCCTTTGGGATCTCTCCCAGTTTTTCCCTTTTTGGGTTTTGTATTTCTTGTTTGGGGGGGTTTGGTTGGGTTTTGTGGGGGGGTTTTGGGGTGTTTGGTTTGGTTTTGGGTTCCAGCCAATTCCCCAAAAAAGCCCTTCCCAATTTCCTTCGCGCGGTTTTTATAACTTTCCGTGGTGGTGTTTGGTGAAAAATTTGTGTTTTTTTTTGTGTGGTTGTGTTTTGTTGTTGGGGGGTTTGGGTTGCAGTTAACCCGGGGACCAAAAATTACACCAAACCATTTTTTTTATTAAATGAATTTTGAAAACCAAAACCCTTTTCTCCCCGGGTTTTTCTTTTGAAAAACCTTTTTGGGGCCGTGTTTTCCCCTTTTTTTCCCGAAAAGACTGTTGAAGAAAAAATAATTTAAAATGAAAAATTATTAAAATTTCCCCCCAGGGAAACGGCCCCCGTGGGCCCCAAAAGCCATTAAGGGATCTCCAAGTAAAAAAAATCCCTTTTTAAGGAGGTCTGTTCAGGGAAAAAAAATTTGGGAAAAAAAAAAAATCGATCCCCCCCCCAGGAACAAAACCCCGGGGTCAAATTAAAAGCCCCTCCCCCCCCAAGTACGGGGGATAACAAAAAGGGTTTAAAAAGTAGAACAAAGAGGTGAAAAGGGGAAAACCCCAAAAACTTACGGGGGCCCGGGGGGACTAACCCCCCGCAAAATTTAAACCTTTATTCCTTTATGGGGGCCCCCGCCCTGAAACCCCCTTGGGTTTCCTTTGCCCCTTCCCCTTTGGGCCCCTAATTTGCTGGGCTTAGTACATCCTCCCCCCGTTTCGATAGATGTATTGAATTTGTTTGTTGGGTACACATAGCGCCTCTGCTCCCTCTCTCAGGACCCATGGAGAGATGTTATCCGGCCCCATTGCCTTTGAGGTATCTAGCTCACTCAGAAGCCTCTTCACTTCTTCCTCGGTTGTGTGTACTGTGTCTTGTGTGTGTGTGTGTGTGTGTGTGTGTGTGTGTGTGTGTGTGTGTGTGTGTGTGTGTGTGTGTGTGTGTGTGTGTGTGTGTGTGTGTGTGGCTCTCCAGTACCAGTGTCCAGCAGTAGTCGACCATCATATCACACTGATCGTCAGGTTTCCATATCTTCTCCGTGGTGGCTGTCTTGGTGAAATCATTCACCGTCGTTCTTTTTCACAGAAACTGTACGTGTTGAAACAAAACTAAGCTCACATTTGAAATTAGTTAGAAATACGAGGACCCTAATGGAAATAAGTCACTTTGACTTTCTTGGGTTATCCTAAGTAATCTACACATATGCTGCTATGTATGAAAATTTATGTAACTGTATTTATGTGCACCAATACCTGAATAAACTTACACGTGATTTTAAACGTGAACTGAAACCTTTGTTAGCCAGTGTTATTATAGCCCTAATATTGTTTCCTCTTATGACTGCTTCGACACGAAATTTAAATATTTCGGAAGACCAGTGAAAACACTGATGTTATAACTTTCCCTGCCATGAAATCGCTTGTTTCTTGCCCCTGCGTGAGGCCCAAATATGTATTGCTGACATTAGATGACAGATCGGGTGAGACATGAACACACTGTACAAAATACTCAGAGTTTATATGATGGATGAAGATAAGACTGTTCGAGAGGAAGAAACGTTACTTAAGGGAATAACTAGAAAGTAAACATAGATGAACCACAGTGATGTCAGGAATTATTTCATCAGCCTCAGGGTGATCAGGAAGTTAAATGACATGCATAACGATGTAGTCGAGGCAAGATCCATACAGTTTTAAGAAGAGGTATGATAATTGATAGAAGCCACGAGGCTAGAAAGGAGTGAACCCAGAAAAAGGCACTTAGGGGGCAGGGGCAGGAGCTGTGACTCAACCCCCGCAGAAACAAATATGGGGGTACACCTTTACCTTCGTGTGTATATGCTGGAGCTTCGGCTCCTGAAGACACACTTGAGTATTCTTGTGCTGACCTCTCGACTTGCTTCCCTTCCCCATTTGTTCTGGACTTCAGCTGGACGATAGTAAACAATTTCTACGATAATGATCATGTTTTCACGGTCATCATCATTCCCCTTGTTCTACAGCGCCTTCATTGCAGCTCACGGCGGAAATCTGAGTGTGCAAACTAGAACTTTCAACGCGGTCTGTTACAAGTTGTACTGTATTTTCTTCACTTTTCTAATCTTAGCTGCCACTGCTTTCATTCTGTGGACCTCAGGAAAACATTCTCAGTAATGTGTACCTTGGCGGTCCCACGACTGTGCTCGAATCATTCTTTTAAAGCACTGGCGTCCAATTATTTTCAGCAGCGGGCCACATTACTAGAAATTCATGAGTGCGGGTCTCGTGATTTTGTTTATTTATAACAACTGTGAAGTATAAATTGTTAATTATTTAAAAAAATAAGGATTTTAATCTGTAATAAATATTTAAAATTTTTAATATTAGTTGCTTTGGTCCTACTGGCCTAGTTGTTCATGTGTGATAATTAAGTAAAATTGCTAAAAATTTCAGGCGGGCCGCACTTCACAATCAAGTGGGCAACATTCTGCCTGCGGGCCGCATGTGGGACGTCTCTAGTCTACAATGCGTCGCATGAGGCCATTGCCATCAGTACACTCGTACTGTTTATCACTATCTTTTTTTTTCAATCAAGCAAGGGCTCATGCAAGTTGTGCCTTATGGAGAGGTAGAAGAGCTAATGTATTTGTTGACGTGCTTATGTCCGTAAACGCAACCACCTCTGTGAGTGCTGCTTGGAATAATGTGCGGAAAATAGTAGTCTCTCCCGATTCTGCTCCTGTTCTTGGGGCTGCTGTGAAATTAGTCAGCTTACTGACGTAGAAGTGGCAACAGATCATTATTTTGATCGGTTTTCTTAAGGGCTGCCTTTATCTCTTCGCCTTTAGTCCAAACCTATACGAAAGTCTATAACTGGGTTTGATATCTCATAATAAAGGACACTGTAACGTTCCATTTCCATTCCTTAAAAAGCCAGGAGAATGAAAAGGTAAACCAAACACAGATGTAATATAAAACTGTAGGAAAAAAATTGTTCACTGCGGCCTCAATCAGATTATTACTAGTATTATAATCAAGGGGGAGCCGCAGGCTTCAATCAGAGAGCCTCTTCAGTAGATAAGGATACATGAAATAGGAAAGTATATGTAGGAAATGATGTAATTTCTGGAGACACGAGTGTACATACACAAGTTGTACACTCATCTTCCCAGAAGTCACATGCTTGCTCATGTATACTTCTAGTGAAGAAAATTAGCACTTACCTCGTTGTCATCTGCAGCGGCGATAGAGAGTTGGTGGTGGTGATGATATTTGGCAGCCACAGACGAGGTGAAGCCAAGTCCCACAGGCGGACAGGAGAGACAGAATGCATTTTTTAGAATGTCGTAGTTAAAGAGAGTGTGCTTACGGGATATCCTACGTCCCATAGGGGACTTGGGAGAAGATGGAGGATTGGTGATGGTGTTGGAGGCCGACGGGGAATGAGGGATAAGGGCGAGTGATGGCGGTGGTGATGAGGGCGACGGGGTGAGTGTGTCGTGTGGGTAATGATCTTTGTCGTTGGGATGTTGGCGAGTTGTCTCTGGTGTCAGTTTGGTGGGTGGAGAATGGGGCCGACTGTTGCACTGCGGAGACGACGCAGTGCTGTGGAAGCTGGTCTGAGTCTCCACATGAGTTCTCTCGTGAAATGGTTGTGGCCGGGGGCGCTGTGAAGGCCTTGGGGACGTGGGTGCCGAAGAAGGTCCATACTCGCCCACAGTCCTGATATTGCTGCGATATCCGGCTCTGGAGGCCCCCAAGTTGATAGCCGAGCCTCCGTAAGTCGCCGATATCATAGCTAAATTGGATGACTGCTGGCCGTAAGTGGCCCCGAGCGAGGGTGAGGTCTCATCATCAGGCGGGCGGCTGTTCTTGTACTGTGGTGTGATGGCTGCAACACTGAATCTAGTAGCAGTGCCCGGGTAAGGCCCTCTACTGCCTGCTGTGGGCCTCTGGGATCTTGGTATTGATTGAAGAGGTGCAGAAGCTTGATTCTTGTCATTAAGTGACGGATGTGATGTAGGTAGCACCTGACGCCTCATGGGATGCGGTGGTCGGCAGGGTCTCTGACTAACTCCAAAACTGGAGGGTCCAGGAGCCTGTTCTGCCGAAGTGCTGCCGGGGGCGTACATAATGTGCCTCTCTGTGACTCCCACACTCGAAGATAATCAATTTCACAACGATCACTGTGCTCACACCTTACTGACCACAGAGTATTACTTTTGTTAATGTGCTTTATTTTTGGAATGTGCGAGAATCCTGAAAAAAAAAAACTTATCGAAAAATCCACATTAATGTCATTATACGAACGAAACGTTAAGCACAGTTAAAATCATATTTCAATGCCACAAGCCATGTCATTAACGAAAATTTACTTTCTTAACAATTGCGATCAATACAAAGACATATACAACAGCCGTCTGTGACAAACTCTGTCTAGATACATTAAAATAAGTAACGAATCAAACAGGGGGAATCCTTGACTATACTTTTTTTAAGAAGCCGCATCACATCTATTTTTAAAAAGGATAATAAAAGGCTTCATTTAACTTGTCTTCCAATTAGCATATCTGTCATTATCAAATCATGGAAACAATAATTTGAATCCTAACAGCGTAAAATTAAGAGGACTGGGAATAAAAAAAAAAATTACTAGAAAATAAATTTGTCATGTTCTTCATCATTCATTATCTTCATTTATTTCAATGCATTTTTTTAAATGTACACGGAAAACAGAAGGCATATGTGATACATCACCAAAATTTTCAGAAATTTTAGACAATTCCGAAATAAAGTTTTTTTTTTTTTAAATAAAGGTATGTGATAGAGACACATATGTTCTGGGTAGCTTAAAACTTGGCTAAGTTTAACATGCTGGTTCTTCTCTTTATATACATAAATTATATTGTATTATGTCCTTCCTGGTGATTCTATCCTCTAAGGTCAGATTCAGATCTTAGACTGCTCGTGGGCCATCCCTCATAGATCCAGGACCATTTTTTTAAATTATTCCTTATACTTTCTCTTGTTTCTTTACATGCTTAGTGAAGTGTGTGCGTCATGCAAGTGTTGTATCAATTAGCTAGAACTCATTTAAAATTAAGTCCTTTTTAAAAATAAATTCTCTTTTACGTTTAACGATAAAAATTTTCATTTATATTAATGTAGAAATTAATAATTTTGTACCAAAAGTACCTTAGAAAACTTACCTAACCTTATTATAACAAGCGCAATTTAATTTAGCCTAATCCAACTAAATATATATTGTAGATAAGTTTACAATAATTTAATAATAAACAAACAAAATTATATATATATTTTTCATTAGCTTCAGAATGATTTTTGCGAAATTATTGCATACACAAATTTTCGCTTGCCTTATTCGGCAAGAAGAACGTTGTTATTTAAGCCAAAATTGCAAGTTTTACCTATTCAGCACGACATATTATATATATAATATATATATATAATATAAATATATATATATATATATATATATAATATATATATAAACAGTCTTGAATGATATTTGGGTAAGGTTCCTCAATTCTTCTCTCGGGTATGCTGGGCGCGCATATACCGGCTATGCTATTCTATTTATCTGACCGTTACTCTAGTTTAAATCATCTTGTAGTTTTTCTATATTCCCCGGTATTTTTTTCTCTTCAATGAACGAACGAGCTTCGAACTCGCAAAATCTAGACTTTACTAGTCAGTCGACTATCATTCTTGGAACATCATCCGTGAACAGCCTTGAACAGTGATGCATATTGTTTTATAGCAAAAATGATATAGAGTAACGACAAGATCAAGAGTTAGATACATATGCATACACGTGGGTATCTTTTCTTTTTCTTAAGATATTTCCCCCAACAAGCAACTTTTTCAGTTCAAAACAGAGATGATATACAAAGACAGTCCTGGTCGCTAGTGGGCCCCGCCCACCTGTGATAATGACTTCAACTGATGCACCTCATCCACTCCAGTATGAAAGAGTCCATCTTCCTGCCTATGGTTCAGATTCATCAAGACTAAAGTACCGAGCACCGACGGAAGGGCTGATTACTCAATCTTCCACTGTCTGATGTGAATAGTTTTACAAGACAGGTATACGGATTGCCTCATTTTCTACTGTAGTGAAGTAAAAAAAATCACTGACTGCCGAAAAGTTTTCAAATAAAGTTTCCCAAGTTTATAAATATATCGTATATGTTTGAGGAACAGTACCAGTCACAGAACTGCCTCCTGTGAGACTCCCACTCATCAGGAACAGTACCAGTCACAGAACTGCCTCCTGTGAGACTCCCACTCATCAGGAACAGTACCAGTCACAGAACTGCCTCCTGCGAGACTGCCACTCATCAGGAACAGTACCAGTCACAGAACTGCCTCCTGTGAGACTCCCACTCATCAAGTCTGCTCATCCTCATACATACTCCCTGCATATCACTCTCCGTCTCCTTCTAGGAATTCTGCAAACCACAGTAGTACCTTCTGTCTGACGAACATGTATGTTGACGGGAAATTCTCACAAACTTCTGTTTATATTGAGTATACACTTACATTTGTTTTCTCGTGTTTTTGTCAATAGTTCTTACTCAATATTTCCTTTCTAATTTATAAGTTTGGTTTAAGAGCAAGCCGTGGAAACAATGACCCCCAGTTATCCTATTCTATCTCTCTGAGGTTGTCTGCCTGTGGTATGTTTGTTGTTGGCTCCGGGGGTCATCGTCCTCACTGCCTGGTCCCAAAACAGGCCTTATGGTTAATGTTCAAGTCAATAAGATGCAGCAATATTCCAGGTTAGAGAGCACAAGTAGCTTAAAAGAGCATCATCCCTGGCTTGTCATCTCTTGTTTTGAAGGTTCCAAATATTCAGCCTATTAGTTTCCTCGCAGTCATGATAGCATGAGCTATCATAACTATCTAGCTGTCTAACTGGGCCACCTGACGGCATCTCAAGCCGTACTAGTACTATGTACTTTCATCAGTCACTTTCACCGGTCACTTATGCCTATATAATTGTTATTCTAGTCCCTCTTGAATGTTAGAAGTGATCAAAGTCCCACGACCTAAACGTTTTCTAATAAATATGCCATAGTGTTTGCTTACATATCTCTTTAAATCACCTGTTGGAATCAGTTACCAAGGTTTATACCACAGCAACACTGTAGAAGTTTTCCAAAATTTAAAGTTTTACTTTTGTCCTATGTGCTCTTCGACCTACTGCCGCCAGGATGTTCACTGTTGCCATGTTGTTATCATACTATGTCCTCGCCTTCCTGTTATTAAGTAGGGTGTTTTGATGTTAGTATATTCTGTAGTGTGTGTAGTTTAATTGTGTAAAGATGTGTGGAGATGTGAGTGAGTGATGCTGTCAGTGTGTGAGTGTGTGGTGTATACGGTATTGTGAGTGTGTGTAATAGTGAGAGAGTATGCGTAATGTATGAGTATCTATTCACCTAATTGTGCTCACCTAACTGTGGTTGCAGGGGTCGAGTTATAGATCCTGGCCCCGCGTCTTCAATGGTCGCTACTATGTGTGTGTGGTGGTGTGAATGTGCATGTTGTGGCCTGTGTGGTGTTTTAAGTTTGGGGTGGTGAGGGGAAATTTGTTTGTGAGAAAGGGAGGGAGTGTGTTGACTGAAAAGGGGAAGGGCGTATGTTAGTGGGAATGGGTGTGTGTATGTGTTGGTGGGAAAGAGGGGCGTGTGTTGGTGGGAAAGAGGGGCGTGTGTTGGTGGGAAAGGGGTGTGTGAGGAGAGTATTGGTGGCAGAGTTGGGTTTACATTACGCAACAAAGTGTGATGTGATACTTTGGCCGCAGAGATTCCTCTCGGTCAGTCCACCCCAGTACTCAGTTCCCTGCTCTCACCTGAATCCTCACCGCCGTAAGTAGTAAGCCTCACCGCCATAAGTAGTAATCCTCACCGCCTTAAGTAGTAATCCTCATCGCCGTAAGTAGTAATCCTCACCGCCTTAAGTGGTAATCCTCATCGCCGTAAGTAGTAATCCTCACCGCCGTAAGTAATTTTCGCCGCTAAACGCAGTAAAAAATTCTCAAATTTGAAAAAAAAAAAAAATTGCCTATCCTCTTTCCTCCTACACTAATCCTCCTATTGTAACAAACCTCTGCATACTTTAGAACTGCATTCTTTAAACAATACTATGTACATCATCCACCTCCTTCTCATCACTCACTCGAACCAACTTTTCTTCACACCTCTTACTAACCTTCATTAATTCATTCACTTTCCACTTGAACTTACTGAAAACATATATCTTGGTACTTCATCTTCATTTCCCTCGTTTTATTAACCACTGAGTAACCATAGACATATTATAATAGCACTTCAGAAAACAATTACGTCTAGAATTCTATACTTCAGTCTCATACATAGTTTAACTGTTCAGCTGAAAACTTTCATTGCTTAATCATTCCTCGGAAACTTATGTCTTTCTTTTCTTAAAAAATATATATACTGGCTACTGTCCAAATCATTTTTTAAACACAATTCAACTAAAGGTCTCCTAATGTTCTCTTCCCGGTACTCCAACCTTTCTTTGTCCTCCACAACAGTCTCCCACTTTAATATTAAGGTCTCGCAGATATAAATATTCTCTCACATGGCTTAAAAATAGCTAAACATTCAATTAGCACATGTCAGAACCTCTACATCCTCACACTCGTGTGTCTACTACAAGTACAAAAACACTTGTAATTATCCACTTCTTGCATTCCACTTTTATTCTAAATCACACACTTCACGAATTTCACCAGTGTGTACTCTTATGATTCATTGAACATAGTCACTAATTTTTATACCACTTATTTTTCTGATATACCTTACTTAATTTCTTTAACTCTACCCATTCAACTCTCCTATAACTTTTAACTTTGTTATACTTGTTGTTAGCACATCTGACTTCTTTCATAATATTAAGAATAATTTATTTCCTAACATCTATACTACATTCACGCGCATTAAAAAACCAACATTCAAAACCTTTTTTCTCTCTCTCTTAGTAATTACATTCAATTAACGTGTAACAAGCCCTTTACTCATGGCATTTTAGCTGCACTTAAGGTTACGAGGAAGGGATTCCAACCTACTTTTGAATAATTGCAAGGGAAACATAACTAATAC